TATACTTTCAAAAGAAGAAAAAATTACACACTACAGAGTAACTATATACAATATACCAATTGAATGAGATTAAAAACAATATACATATAAATATCAATAATTATCTATATATAATGATTTTAAAAAAAATCAGAATTCAAAGCTAAATTAAAAATCAAATTCAAAACCTCGTGAACTCAATGACTAATTATATGTTAAATTTATCTACTTGAATGTATAGTTACGTGCTATTGATGCTATAGTTCTAATCTTTATTGCAAAATATAGCTACATTTTCATGTGGAGAGTTGAATAGTTGCTATATCTTGGAGTCAGGGTTTTGCTTCCAAATTACGTAAAGTAAAAAAGAAAAATGTCGGGTTCTTTTGTGTGATCCCAAAGTTTAAGACACGGAAAAAAATAGCTGTTTTTTATTTACTTATTTAATTTTTTTCTTTTTGTCTGCTCTGTTTAATTGAGGGATCCAAGGCCCAACTCCTAAGGCCCATGTTGGGGTGTTGTTGGGTGGACACAAAATTGAAATCCATAAAAAATAATGTGTGTGTGTGAGAGTGAGCTTTTACCATCTTATCCCTAACATTTTCCAAGGATAGGATAATGGAAGCCACATCTTATTTCCTCATATTAATTAATAATCTTTGCAGAAAAATTATTTTTGCAAAAAAGAAAAAAATAAAAAAAAAACAATTATTAACACGCCGTGTTTTTAATAGGAATGATATTCTAACCATGGAAATGAATGTACAGAGCTAATTGCCTCAATGACTCGATAGTTGAATTCCAGCTCCAAAGGTTAATATGAGTTATTACCTAGGCCTGAAAACATTGGTGCTAACCCTAATATTTGGTCCAAGCTATATTCTCTTTACATTAATTGTTGATTGGTATGGAGTGTACTCATAGGTCTTCCTTATACGTGACCATGCTTTGTTATGAAGTATAGAAAAAGATAAAATTTAGCCTAGAAAAAATTACCTGTGCATTGGGCCCTTAAGTATCAATCTCGTGTCATTTAAAATCCAATGGGCTTGGAATTTGTTTTGTCTGCCAAAGAGTACGGTAGATTTCTAATAGCCCAAGAGTCGTGGGCCCTTGTACGGCTTTAAATTGAAATTGGGTGTTATTAATAGTAATAGTGGGCCCGTGGACCAGTTAAATAATAATACCTCTTTTTTTTTTTTTAAATGTCATTTTAATTTTATCAACTATTAACCAAATATATGACGTTTTGGATCTTTTGTACATATTTTTCCATTATTACCCTAATTTAGCTAATAATTATACCTCGTCTTTTAATATTCACTATTCATTTTTTCTCAAAACATCTATCTCTATCTTTATTAACGATTATTAACGAGAGTTATTATTGGCAAAAAAAATATTCTCAATTATTGTGCAACTTTTCAAAAAAATACTTATTAAAAATAGGAGAGAGTATATAATTGACCCTACAGATGTCGCATTGGTGACATTTTTCCAAGATATAAAATGAGCAGGTTAGACAAATTCAATCCTACCAATGGACAATCTTATGGGTTTTAGCAGCCAGATCACGAATAATCATACACTTCCTTATAGATGTGTATTGATAATCGGTTAAACTTCATACGAGTTGATATAACACTCAAAATAGCTCAGTGGACCGGCCTGAGTGGTTAACTCAGATATGGCCGGTCCAATAGAGCTTCATCCAGCACTTGACATCGTCAGGGGAGCTCGTTTCGGCATCTCAGGGTACGGGTCTATCTGACTAAATGATTGAAGGGTCGAGCTCCTCCTAGAGCTCGAACAGACGGAGGAGTATTGCGACCTTGAGGTCGTGTGGTAAAGGTCGCGGTTTCGAACTGACAAGTATCCATGATAGTTGAGTTGCGAGGTCACTAGGACAATCTAAGGACTTGGAAGTCTTATGGTAAGAGGGAACAAAATCCTACTAAGAAATGAAAGTATATCTCGTTAAAGATTCTAAGATCTTAGAGATATGTTAAGTTAGAAAAGGAGATACAATATATATATATATATATATATATATATATATATATATATATCTTTATTGGACTCTACTTGAGTAAGAAGACACCCCGGGTATATAAGGGGTTACCAAGTTTCATTTTAAGATAACACATTATTACGTGTTTTGAACACAACTTTCAATATATTCGTGAGCGAGATTCCTACTTGAGGTAGGTTTTCCGCCGGGACCCCTCCTCGACGTGTTTTGCAAGCCACCGGAGCTAAAGACGAAGGAAGTTCGTGATCTTACCATTTTAACCCAGTTTGGAGGCAATTTGCATATCACTGATGGTTGGTACGGATTCACCCTATACCATTGTGCACGAATGATTCAATCATACCCCATGGGGCATTGCTTCCATGGGGATTTCACCATTGATTTACACACAATCACACGCACACACACACATATAGATGTGTGTGAAATCAAAGGTGAAAAACCTCATGTACCCCATATGGTAGGACCGAATTTTCCGTACTCCACATAGGCATTCAACCATTTGGACAAAATCACATTTATTTTATTCAAAACACACCTATATAATTTTAAGTTTTTCAAATGTTAATTTATTCATTTATTTTTGGATTCTAATAATTATTATATGATGGGTTGAAAAATATTTAGCAAATATCAAAAGAAAAAAAAAAGGAAATATGAATCACTCCTGTTGTTTTTAGGGTTGTGTTTGAATATAGATTTGCGAATAGATATTTTGATTTTGATTGGTTTATTTAGTTAATTATAGTTAATTTTGAAAAAAATTGGTTGACTTAGGTTTGAGTGAGGTTTTGGGTTTGTATTAAAATAATATTTAAAATAAAATAATTAAATTTGATTTAATGTAAAAGTGAGAGAAAGATGATTGGATTAATGAGTAATTAAAATTATGTGAGTCAATAAATACTAAATAAAGTTGATGTATAAGAATGATTATTTAATTATATTGATAATATTAAGGATAAGAAAATTGATTTAAATGTTACTTTGATTTTNAAAACAAACAAACAAACAAACAAACAAACATCAAATCGTTTACTAAATTGAGAAATTGAGAATCGCTATTAGTAACAAACGCTTCAAGTAGAATACACTCAACAGTAGTGTATTGGTATGTCTGCATTAAAGGACTTGCCCCATTTCAGCATCAGTCACTCCATCCTTTTATGAATCTTCAAAGAATCAAAATTCGCTCTTGATTTCGTTTAAGTGGGAAAATAGATTGCGATAATTTGATCACTTTTTTATACAGTTCAGTCAGTATCGATTCGTGATATATTGATAACTCTTTGTTTTTGATTGATGGGTGCGTGTTGAGATTAAATATGCTGATGAGCGGGCCGGCGGTGCACCCGGTGGAGGCTCTGCCGCCTACGACGGAGGAAGCGCCGCCGAGAATCCGGATGAAAGACATCCAAGGGATGGCGGGGACATCCGGCGCCCTCGCCCTCCGCATCTGCCAGTTCGTCTTCGCCGCCGTGTCCCTCTGCGTCATGGCCACCACCTCCGATTTCCCCTCCGTCACTGCCTTCCGGTTAGTCTTAATCTGTTTTTGATTGAAGCTATTTTGTTTTATTTTTTCTGTTTCGTGTTAGGATTTTGGGATTTTGCAAATTAAAAAACAAAAAGGTAAAAAGAAAGAGAATCGAAGGAGAAACTTTACCTTTTAGCAGAGTACAGTGCCCTTAATAGGAATGCATAATTGCTGGGAATTTTGGATATTGCGTCAGAGTTCGATTCATACCCTTAATTGAGTATATGATTTGTTTATCCTTGTTTGAGAAACAGTGAATTGTAGGTGATTTTCAAGTTCAACTGTTGCTACTCAACACGATTTTCAGGTCACGTCCTATGCTGGTTTGTGAGGGAAAAAAACAATATTGCAATTGAACCAAATCAATTGCATTGTTGTTTTTATCTTCCATGGGAATGGGAAAAACCATTGTTGGATCATAGAGGTTTTAACTGGATATCCTTAATTTACTCTCCCAAACTCTCTATGTTCTTTTATTGGAGATTACGAAACATCTTTCATTTAACTAGAAACAAAATCATAGATGAAAGTCAGATTAAGTTTTGCAGCTCACACTCTTCACAATTTCTCGATTGCAACAATGTTTGCAAATGGCAACGTTACTAAAAGACATTATTTCGTTTAATTTGTTCATAATATGTATGTGTGTGTATAAATTCAAACCTACCCGTGTGGGCACTATGAATGCTCCATTTGTGAGGAGGAATCGAGACTATAACTTTCTTGTTCTTTTGATCAGCTACCTTGTTGCTGCCGTTGGTTTGCAAAGTATATGGAGCCTGTCTCTAGCTCTTGCCGACACATATGCTCTTTTGGTGAGACGGAGATATAGAAATACTGGAGCTGTCGGTTTATTTGCCATTGGTGATGGGGTAATAATAATAATTAAAAAAATAAATAAATCGTTTGATCAAGTTTATGCTNGGTTTGATTCGGGGTGGTAATGACTGACTCAGACACAAAACACAAACATATTTGATTTGGGTTTGATTCGGGGTGGTAATGACTGACTCAGACACAAAACACAAACATATTTGATTTGGGTTTGATTCGGGGTGGTAATGACTGACTCAGACACAAAACACAAACATATTTGATTTGGGTTTGATTCGGGGTGGTAATGACTGACTCAGACACAAAACACAAACATATTTGATTTGGGTTTGATTCGGGGTGGTAATGACTGACTCAGACACAAAACACAAACATATTTGATTTGGGTTTGATTCGGGGTGGTAATGACTGACTCAGACACAAAACACAAACATATTTGATTTGGGTTTGATTCGGGGTGGTAATGACTGACTCAGACACAAAACACAAACATATTTGATTTGGGTTTGATTCGGGGTGGTAATGACTGACTCAGACACAAAACACAAACATATTTGATTTGGGTTTGATTCGGGGTGGTAATGACTGACTCAGACACAAAACACAAACATATTTGATTTGGGTTTGATTCGGGGTGGTAATGACTGACTCAGACACAAAACACAAACATATTTGATTTGGGTTTGATTCGGGGTGGTAATGACTGACTCAGACACAAAACACAAACATATTTGATTTGGGTTTGATTCGGGGTGGTAATGACTGACTCAGACACAAACCACAAACGCTAACATGTATACACAATTATAGAGACAAATGATGCGATTTTGGAATAAAAAAGTTTAGTTAAAATTTGATTTTTAGTATCATATTTATATTTCTTATCAAATAAATAGATAAGAAGGAAAACACAAAAATCAAACATGAATCTGAGAGATGATAGCACGATTTATATCCAATTTGTGAATCAGTCTTCTCCTTGCTGTTCTTTTTTGGCATAAATAAAAGTAAACTCACCTCAATATGTAGTTACCATATTTAAACATTTGGTTAATTCATTTATATCCAATTTGTGAATCAGTCTTCTCTTTGCTGTTCTTTTTTGGCATAAATAAAAGTAAACTCACCTCAATATGTAGTTACCATATTTAGACATTTGGTTAATTCATTGTGATCGACTCGTCGAGTTAGCTTTGAAGAATGTCCTTTTGTCTAATAAGGTCAATATAAGGGGGAGAAAACAAAGAAGTGGCATTGTTGTTACAAGTTACAACACATCTAACGACACTAAATCTTCGGCGTGCTGCATCTTAATTTCTCTGCCTCGAGTTCTTTTTTCAATGACTCGACCCGCTCGAGCAGATCAATGTTTTCCTGAGAACATAAGACACCACCTAGCGAATTAAACTTATTCCCCATTTGGACTTGTGCAATATCTACTACAAAAGGCAAAGAACTATGTAGGAATGAGTTTTGCAATGAAGTTCAAGAAAAAGGGCAAAGCTACCTTTTGTAACATCTCCATGTTCCGGTTCACGATCGTCTGTTTTGTTCGTCCATGAAGGGACTTCTTCATCTGTGCAAAACTCTGATTAGCTGCTTTCATCATATACTAACCTTAATTTCTCACAAAAGCTCAAATATCAAGAAGCAATTTCTGCATCAAGATCAATTTCATCATAGAACTTTAGATTGTTACACTGCCCAGCAGTAACTCTCAACTCTCAAGTCGATTTGTGACTAAAATTTCAGCATGCAAATGAGAAGCAAACAAAATCAGCAGATGCACCAAACAAGTACCTCATCCAGTTCACTTAAGCACTTTGATGCCTTATCAAACTCATGATCGAATCTCCTTCTCCACTCAGCAGATTCATCCATAGCTTCTCGGTTAGCCAGATCAAACTGCTTCCTACAAATAAATCATTTGAACACAACAAACACATTTTCACAATTGAAACAAATACAAGTATATACTCAAAATTCAAACACGCAATCGCCAGCTAAACACACATACCACGCTACAGTAAATTTCGAACTCCGATCATTTACAGAAAAGCGGAATTAACAAAAGAAAAAAAGTTACGCAATCGAGCACACAGACAAATTGAGCTGAAATTAACGCAGAACAAATTTGCCAAAAACAAAAATGGAAAAAATTAAGGGGGAGAAAAGTTCGATCCAACCTCAGAAGCTCTGTATCGTTGGACGAGATGCGATAATCAATTGTCCACAGGCGAAGGTAAACGGCGATGCCCAGAAGCATTACGAACCCTAAACCTATCAGAATTTGGCGCCTCTTCATTTTCCCCATTGTTCACTTGCAAAAAGGCTTTGAATTGCTTGTAGGGACGAATTTAATTAATGAATTTGTTTGTATCTATGTGGGGCCCAGTAGAGGAAAGTTATAAATATGCGAAAAAGAAAGAGGAAAATGAAATAAAAATATAAAATGGAGGGAAGGGTTTATGTAGAAATTTAGAAGTATATTGATGAATGATGCCACTTAGATTAAACTGTGCGAGATTAAAGGAAAAATGCTATTTTCTAATTAGATATAAGTTTTTTTAATGATATTTGTGCTATTGATTTCTTGGCATTCTATTGTATTTGGAATCCAATTAATGTTTTCATAGAGAAAATAGGACACTTACACCGCCAATAAAATTATACACTTTCAATTAGTACAATAATCCATTGTTTTCTCCAAAAATTCGAGTTATATCAGTTTCAAATCAGAAATATTGGTTAATATATCAAAAAAACACCAAGCAAAATCCTGGCTAAAATATCTAATAATATTAAATTGTATTTTAAAATTTTTAGCATCTTTATATTGTTATCAACTTTTTTAAATAAGTTTAAAGTACTACACTTAATTTTAATATTTTTATTTGAACTATATTCAAATTTAATATTAATTAAAATTTTATTTTATATAATATTTATATATTAATAACAAATTTATTTAGTATTTATTAAAACTGATATAATAGTCGATAATATTGGCTGAACCGATGGTTTATCTTACATACGGTATTTGAAACACGTAGCAACAAAATATTAATAAAATGTACTTTATTATATGAATTGGCTAGAGACTTTAGAACAGATGTGATTTGTCTTTTCTCCTAAAATCATAAAAGCCTTAATTTTAGCGTAACGTAATCAATTTCGATTAATTTTTCTCTTTAAATATTGATGGAAATAAATGTCTTTAGAGTTTTCAATTTAATTATTTATTTCTCTCTTTATTCAAAATTATTGTCTTGTTGAACAAGCTAAAAATCTAAGGCTTTGAGGAGTCTGACTCCTCTTCTATTGTTTTGTCAGTTGAATTTCAATAAAAAAGTTACGAGAGAGAGATTTCTCTTCTCTTATTTCCTTTTCGTATGCTTTCGCTACTTCAGTTGGTATTCAGAGACCAGTAAATTCCAGATGCTTCCAAGGAGAGCCGAAGCAGCCGACGAGTGGCTTGACGTCGCCTTCGAATCCTTAAGCCGACAAGTCACGGATATCGCCGCGGGCTTTGGCCGGCAATCCGATGCCATGGGCCGTTAGATGGTTGAGTTATCTGAGGGGCTAGAGGAAGTGCGATTAGCTGTCCATACCGCTTTGCAAAGCGATCGGTCGAGCCATACCCACGACGGGGGGCGCGGTGAAATGCGCGAGGGTAGCGGTCGGGGTCCTCACAGTGCGCCCCGTTCTCGAACGCCTCACTTGCGGGTCGGAGAGAGTGACGATGAAGGCACCTTTCGAGTTCAACCCTTTTGGTCATCAGATGCGAGACAACAATTTTCGGACCGACGATCGTTCGTGGGATTCATCTTTTCGCGTTAACATTCTAGAGTTCTCTGGCGGCTTAAACGCGTCGGAGTTCTAAGATTGGATGGCTACGGTCTATCCTCGACTATTCAGTGGCTTGTGTGGATGAGCAGGGGTCGACCGCATATGAGGGTCTGCCTCGTTTTGATGACGAGGGGTCGTCCGAGTATGAGGGTCTGCCTATTTATAACGATGACGATAATTTCGACACCGATCCTATTATGCCGTTTTTACATTTGACCGTCCACTACTCCGTCGTCTTTTGGCCAGTGCCTGTGGTGCAAATTCTTGAACCCCTCTCAAGAAGCTCGAGTCATAGCCATGTCGATTCCGCTAAGAGAGGTGAAAAAAATCTTCAACGCATCAACTTTGATAAATTCTTTGATATTTTGTACCATTGTATCTGCTTATGCTTCGTACAAGCAGCATGCAGATGCGCGTCGTGAGTCTCGTGACCATGTCGAGAATGCAGTCGACAATTATATGTAGACCGTGTTGACGACGGATAGGTATTCTATTCGTGAGTATACCAAATTGTCGGCCCGTAAAATTGGGGTTTTGATGTCAATCACTTGGGGACTTTCCATAGTGATACTTCTGATAGAAACAAGATTGTGCTAGATTTGAGTGTGAATCTTTTTTGAGAGGGGAGAATGATGGAGATAAAGGACAACCATGATCTTTAGAATCTTTAATTTAATTATTTGTTTCCCTCTTTATTATTATTATTATTATTCAAAACTCTTGTCCTGTTGGACAAACTAGAAATCTAAGGCTTTGAGGAAGGACTCTTTTTTTATTGTTCTGGCAATTGAATTTGAATAAAAAAAGTTATGCCGAAAGATATTTTTCTTCACTTATTTCTCTTTTGTACGCTTTCGCTACGTCATAAGATGAAACAATGGATTCCGCAAACAAAGAATTCTCAATCACAGAAGATGTGATTTTATCCCCCATGGCGGTCCTTGTCGATTTCTCCGATCATGAGTCGCTCGTCAAATCTGCTTCTACTTCGCTCAATACAAAGGGTGTTGCTGATAACTTTGTTAAGAAAGCTGAGAACAATACTAATGATTTTTATGTTCCAGCAGTTGTGCCAAAAAAGGATCAAAGAGATAACAAACCTCCTATTGTCAAAGATATAGCTAGTTACAATATGATAGTGGTTGACAAGAGTGACATGAAATGTCGTTAAACTTTGGGAGCTACTGCTTATGGCGCCGGGAACAAAAGTCAAATATGGAGGCTTCTATAGCTACAACAGAATCATGCCTGTCAAGTTTGCAGTGGGTCATTGTGTGTGGGCCGTATTGACGATAGCTAAATTGTGCCGAACAAAAGAGCATTGAGATGTGGGAACTGATCATATTCCTGGTAGTCCAACCCCAGCACATTACTTCAGGAGAAGCAATAAAATAATCGCACTTGCTGGCCAATTACTACCTCATATTCCTTTTAAATGTTATTTTGGCCTTATCAACTATTAACCAAAATAAATGTCGTTTTGGATCTTTTGTACATATTTTTCCATTATTACCCTCATTTAGTTAATAAATACATTACGTCTTTTCCATCAACTATTCATCTTTTTTTTAAAAAAAGCCATCCATCTCTATCTTCATTAATGAGGGTTATTATTGGCAAAAAAATTATTCTTAATTAGTGTGCAACTTCCCAAAACGACACTTATTATGAATAAGAGGGAGTGTTAGAAATGGGACAACCTACCACACTCTTGTCAGTCTATAGTCTATACCCTGTAGCCTCCTAGGGTCTGACGCCACATTTAATGTGCTTGTCATGTGACTCATGTCTATTAATGGTAAAAGTGACGTTGAGTATGAACAGTAGCAACGTGTAAACCACTATAAATACTCTTCGTATCTCATTTATGAAGAGGATGGAGAAAATCAAACATATAAGAAGAAAATATTTGTCTCACAACAAATAACATTTTACCGGTATACAACTCGAGCTGATTAGCCACTCGAGCTCCCGCTTTATCCATATTTTCACGCCTCATTTTATTTTAGCATAGATTTTCCCAAACATTCTTAAGTAAAATTTCTATATTTCTGTTGTCCAAATTTTACGGGCAACAAATTTCTTTATTTAGTGCACGATTGGATATGAATCCAATTGGTTTTGACTTATTTTGTTTGGTTGAAGTGAGTTATTTTAAATAAAGTAGATTGAGTGTACGATTTTGAATTTAAAATTAAATAATATCTAAAATAAAAAGATTAAAGTTGATGTGATATAAAAATATGAAAAAAAAATTATTAAAAGTTTAAATTGTTAAATATTATGCGAGTAGATAAATAATGAATTAAAATTGATTTAATATGTGAAAATTAACGGTAGAACAAACTATAGTGCTAATGTTTAACAATTTCAAATGAGTCAAAAACTATACAACATTTTTTTTGTTTTTATTAACTACGCAACAAATTATGTTGTTGCATAAATGGTGGGCCCACCATCTGTGATCAAATCAGTACTATGCTAAAACAGTGCAACAGAAAATCATAGTGCTGTTTGCATAAAAATGGAATTATCGTCGAAAATCGTGTGCTCCCTTCCAGCTTGCCTTTCTGAATGACAATCAATTGGCCGACATAAATTTTCAGCAAATTACATACGCCTGAGATTAAGCAGTGAGTTGCGACGAAGGGGAAGAACAGTGGCGTTTTTTTATTTTTTTAATTAATTTTTCACTAAAATGTGAACTAATTACCTTCACCAAAAAGTGGCGAAGACAAAAAATTCCGTTTCCGGAAAAAGCTTGTGGAGTACGCAGAAAAAGCAAGTTTTGTGTGTGCTTCAGAGTTCAGGGTTTTGTCTCTTTCTAACCTTTCCCTTTTGCCTTTTCAAACTCTCTAGGTTTCATTTTTCTTTAGTAATGGTATGGCCCTGTGTGCCTCAAAATCAAAGAAGTTAAACGGTCACGGATATAAGAAGTGGCTAAAATCACAGGGGATAAAAGCTAAGAACAATACGGTAGGTTATCTTCTTTCTGATTTAAGTTATTCGATTAAGTTCTCGGTTATCTCATGAACTTCATTCTCGACTTCTCAGCATTTTAATCTTGTAACTTAACTGTGCGATGCAACCTGTTGGTTATATGACCTGCTCAATGAAATTTTGTTGGTTATGGAACTTGGCCTTCTATATGTTGCTATAGATCAGTGCTTTCTAATTTTCTTCCTTCAAAGGTGTTCTGCTTCATGTACCTGTTTTTTTTTTTTTTTTTCTTCTTTTCTTTATTCCGTTCTATAGCCTAATCGCTTATCACTTTCATGTGTGTTGATAGATTGAAATTTTTAATCCCCATTCGATATCTTTGCATTTGGCTCAGAAGATAACTCTTTTTGAAATACTTTTCCTGAACCATCTTTTATTTAATGTTTCTATTGACAATCCTTGATATGATGAACTAACAGGAGAACAGTGAGAAACAGGGAAGCCCATGTAACATGGATAAATCAGAGGTGAAAAAGGAGCCTGAAAGTGAAAATTGCAATGCCCATATGTCCAAGACTACCAAACCTAATTTTGTTGAGTATTGGGTTCCTGTCAGCCTCTCGGAGATGCAAACAGAGCTGTATTGTGGCACTCTTTTTTCGAATGAAGTTATATTAACCTCTCATTCAAAAAATGAATCTAGGGGAGCAGCCCTCAATGACATGCTTATCTGGACCAGAAAGGTTTGACTTTGCTCAAAAAGTTCAAATGTCCATTTAGCTCCAGTTTAAATTGTTCTGTTTCAGTGTCTTTTTATGGTTTGCAACAATGAACTTTCTTCTAAATATTAATATTAATAACTTTTTTTCTTTTGGTCAGTGTTGTGATCATCCTTATCTTGTTGACGGGTCATTGAGCACCTCCTTGATAGGAGATGTAGCAAAGCCTGAACTATTGGATGCAGAGATAAAACTGAGTAACAAATTGATGCTTCTTCATAAGATTCTTTTGGAGATTAGAAAACGATGGCTACGAGTACTTATCCTTTATCAGGTAGTGTAGTTAGAACACTGTATTGTAATGAAATAATTTGGAACTTATTACTGCTGTGAGACCTTTATTTACAGTTTAATATGCTTTCACATCCTGATTCTGCTCATGCTGAAAATGATTTTTGCTTTTTCTTCATTTTTCTGTAGCTGGAAAATGATTTTTTTTTTTTTTTTTTTTNCGCATGGAGGCTCTGGATTGTTTTCTATCGGAGATCTTCTGGATGCGATTATTAATGGAAAGTTCGGCCCTGATCTCTATGAACACATTGGTGGTCGTAGAAGGGTACCTACTTCTAAAAGACAAGCTTCCCTGAATACCTTTAACAATAAAGACAATGGGAAATTTGTTTGCTTGATGGAAACTGATTCTTGTACCCCAAGCATCAAGATTGCATCAGTAGATACTGTTATTTTCTTCAACAGTGATTGGAACCCGGCGAATGACTTGAAGGCACTGCAAAAGATCGATCTCGATTCACAGTTGGAGCACGTGAAGGTTTTTCGCCTGTATTCATCTCACACAATGGAAGAAAAATTACTAATTTTAGCCAAACAAGGGATGGCTCCAGAAGGCATTGTTATGGATATCAGTCAACGAATGTGTCATCAGCTGCTTACTTGGGGTGCCTCACACTTGTTCGAAAAGCTCGATGAGTTCCATAACTTCTCTTCTTCTGATGATGATGAAAATTCAGCGGTTTTTTCTAGTGAGGACCCGTTTGGAGATGTATTGCTTGAGCTATCGAGCTTATGGCCACACGACGAGAAAAGCAACATCTGTGGGAAAAGAAACTCGTTAATTGTGGAGGTAAGACAGATGGACGGTATATATCCCGGGAATATGTCTTTAGTTGGCGAATTGGAAAATCCTCAGGAGATGATACCGAAAAAGTTCCATCTTTTCTGGAAGACACTACTTAAAGGGAGAAACCCAAAGTGGAAATATTTTTCTAGCCAATCACGTCGAACTTCAAAAGCAGTGAAAATGTTTTATGATGTACTCGAAGAATCTGCTCGGACAGAACCATCTTCCAGAAAACGGAGGAAAGAGGAAGCATCTGCTCAGACGAAACCAGCTCCCACAAAACGCAGGAGAAAGGCTAGAAATGCTTTGTACCAATTCCCAACAATAATCAAGAGGAAGATTAGGACTAAGCTTCGAAATCGAGGTAAAGTGCAAAAAGCTTTCAGGTTTGAAATATATATCTTGTTTCGTGAACAAGGATCATCACTTTTATGAAATGAAAGTTGCTAAAATATGCTGGAAATGTGCAAGGAAATTGATCTATTGTGGCGTGTGTTTTTCTTCTTCTCTCTTTTTTCCTTTTTGCCATCTGAAAGTCATTCATTTTCTTTAAAACACGTCTCAGCAGAAACTGACAAAAGGAGAAAAGTAAGCTCATGGGTCAACCTACAAATTCCACCGTTGGGCAGAGCACCACCAAGTGAACACCATTCTCTGGTAAAGAGTGCTTTATTAAAAATGTCTTTTCCCGCCCATACACTCGTCACTAGATAACTCTATGCTGATGCATCATCTTAAAGTATAACGATGAAATGAGCACTTGACAAGAAAAAACAAATGAAGGCAAAGTTTTCTGACTGTTCTATTCCTCACAGCCACGTGCTGATGAACGAAGAACAACACAAAAGGATGGCAACCCTCATGGTACTGCTATAGTACCACAATCGGTTTGTAAAGCACTCCAGATGGAGCTTGAAGTACTGCAAAAGGAGAAAATTGATCTTTTGAAGCTACACGAAGAGAAAGTTCGTTTCTATATTATTTATTTCTTTTCCTCCTTTCAGCCATTTTCCATTGTTTTTTTTTTTTTTCACTATTTTTATGCTCAGAAGTATGTTTTCCTTATCCTTGAATAAACTGTAGAAACTGCAATCGAAGATGGCGTGCGAGAAGGAGATTGAAGAGATACGTAAAAAATATGACGCGCTTCTTCAGAATGCCGAGGCGGCTTTACTGGAAGAGAAAGGAGTTCTTGAAGCCAAGTACAAAAAAGTAGAAACCCATAAATCTTTAGCTGAGGCAGTCATGCAGACTGATATTTTGTTTAGTCGGGCTATTGCGGAAGGTTTGTGAACAAATTAGTGATCAATTTTATTAGTTCGTATTATTACTTTTATTGAACAGTGTGTGAGCATATGAAAAAGTTAAAAGTACAAAACTTTTATAAGTGATTTGCTTGACCATTCTCAGGTTCTTTTCTATTTCTGGAGGAAATAGCATTTTAAGAATAGTTTAAAAAACATGAAATTGTACTTTGAGTGTGATTGAATGTAGAAAGATTAGGTGATGGATTTAGACAGCATGATGGACATTTTAGAGAGGTTTATTCTGATGTGATTATGTATTGGTGATAATAGATGTGTTATGCCTTTCTTCTCTGGTCAAGTATTGGATTTTGTTGGCTGGTGTTTGGTAAACTGAGAATGTGCTTCTGAAAATATATATATATATAACTTTGTAAACTTTTTCAAACAATCACTTGCTCAATTCTGACATTTGCTTCTTTTGCTAGTTACTTCAAACTGTTCGGACGACGAGATGTATAAGCTATTTCATCAATGGACCAGATCAAAGCCACCCAGATGCTCTGAAGCTGAAGGCCCGATTCAAGAATCACTTCCCTCAAAACCAGAAGCTTTCCAATCTCCTCCGAACCTAATTATCTCGTCAGAAGTAGCTAGCAGCCTGCCGATTAAACAATCTCTCGGTACAACTAATTTTCAGGCATCATTACTTGCTGCTGGGCCCAATCAGCCTTTACCAGACCCGGGTTTGATGAGTCCGTGCTCGACTTTAACCCCAATGGTGCATATTCCTCGGACTTTGGTGGGTGGTCAGGTTAGTCCGGCTCCACATTTTAGGCATATGTGGCCTCCTCAGCCTATTGTGCCACCTGGACTGCTGCCTTTTTCTAGTGCCGGAATTGTTTCGCCTGTGAGCTTACCGCCATTAACGTCTCATGTCCTGGGTTTACAGTCGACAATTTCGAGCTTTTGGGCATCTTCCCCTTTTGACAGGTTGCCCTTGTGAGAAATGTGATGATCAAGGGAAGCAAGTTATATTTAGTGCTTTTTGTAGCTAGAAACAGGGAAAAAACAGATGAAAAGAGCTATCTGTGTTTTTGTGTCAACTGGACATCTAGTAGAAAGCTTTGGAGTTAGATGGTAATTGAATGTAGTTAGTGAACATTGATGATATTAACAGGATTTGGGTGATTTNAAAAAACTAAATTTAAAATGAAGTCATATCATTTACAAGCCTCTCATACTCTGCATTGATGATATGTCCTCTGAATTCTACTAATAAAAGAAATGTGAAAGAATATAAAAATAAATCATGATTTTGGTTTTATGCAGGTTTTTAAGTGCTACTGCTATCTATTAATTTAGATTTTCAAAGCTATGTATCCGATGTTGGTTTAATTTGGTGGCAACATTTTAGTAAAATGATCATATTTAGAAGAAGCAAATTAGGGTAATCTCTAGATTACAATATGGGTCAAACGGATCAACTTGAGTTTTGACCAAACTTTTTGCAAATTAATTTAGAGGAATTTGCACCCTCTACAATTCAAAACCATTTATATAACATTTTTACAGCTCAATTAGATTTATTTATAAAATTGCTATTTGAAGGCAAAAATATTACTGATATACTAGCATTGTTAGTTAAGGTAATTAAGGATAAATTAAATATAATTTGTGCCTATAATTATTATTAACCTATATCCTTACCAATTAAATGTGATTTGCACTCTTGAAAACCGCAACACATTATCTCTGCAAAAGTAACCGCACCACGCCACAATCTCCTTCTCCACAATGGCCAAGACGAAAATCTCACGACCTTCTCGACAAAAAACCACCAATGATGCCGACGAAACTCCTCAAATAAGATTGAGTTCACGGCTTCGTAATATTCAGTCAAAACTCAAACCCAAAATCGTTCAAAAAAAACTCAATTTTGAAAAAAATATGAATCCTAAACCTAATCGGAAGTCCGTCGGCAAGACTAGAGATCAAATGCGTAGTTCATCTCCCGATTCGGACGATTTTTTGTTATGAGAGATTGATTTATTAATATTTGTTTCCCTGTTATGAAAGATTGATTTATTAATACACATTTTATTTTTTTATCATATATATTAATGAAGTTATCTTCGGTTGGGAATAATATCAAAGTGTATATTTGTTGGTGATAAACAAATCCTAATTGTTATGATATCAAAGTGTATATATGTTGCTCTTTTTGAAATATTTTTTCTAGCTTGTGTTTACTGTGAACTGGTATATTTGTTAGGTTTTATGATAGAATATATAACAGTTATATCTATGGTATATATGTTAGGGTTATATGCCTGGTTACATAACATTGTCCTGTTCTGGTATATGTCTGGTATATATGTAGGGTTACATGTTACATGACATTGTTCAGTTCTGGTATATTTCTGGTATATATGTAGGGTTATATGTCTGGTTACCTAACATTGTATTGTTATTGTATATGTATGGTATATACACATGGCTATATGCTTGTTATATAACATTGAACTGTTTTCTGGTATATATTGTTATTATATATGTCTGGTATATCATCTTATATCTGTGTGTTTCTTATATATGTGTTATATTTTTTTCATCATTTTTCATCATTAAATATGTAATCATTCATGATCCATTCACCACCATAATGTATGAAAATCATCATCTTCGGCTCCATCTACACACAAAAAAAAGGGCACATATACCATTAATAATTAAAAAAAAAAAAAGTCACATACACGTTCGTTTGCAATGAATGCCAAAATCATTAAAAAAATGAAGATATAAACCTCGATATGGACTATATACCTGAGCTCGAACATAATTTTTTCGTGTATTTCTGGTATATGATCAGTAAATCGTCGTCGATGAAGTTTTTTTTCAGAGTATTCTCTGTGTTGATCGTTTTTTTTTTCTGATGATGAGAGTAATTCAAATTCAAATTCCATGTTTAATGCAACCGTTTTTGTATCAGATATTTATTCCATAATCAAAAAAGGATTTTTTTTTTATAACAACTGGCTGGAAATCACAGGGAGAGAGAGAAAATGCTTTAGTCTGATAAGGTAAGCAGACATTATTGTAGGTATGTTGATGTTTTAGGTAAAGATATAATTATTTTATTTGGGGTTGTATTGTTGCAATTAATTCTACGGCTAATTCCTTATAAATCCCTAAGTAACATTTCAATTTCCTTGTCAGTCCCCATCACTTTTAAACTTCCTTATCACTCCCTAATGCTAATTTCTCTTTCCATATCACTCCCCATATATATACTACTCTTATTATATTCTTTTATTTTGCCTTATTTTCATAAAAAAATGGAATTCAAGCTCTCCTCTCTCTCTTCGTCTCTCTCGCCGTTTCTGTCTCTCAAAATCATCGTCGTCCGTCCTCTCTCTCTCAAATTTTCGTCGCCGAGCGTCTCTCTCCCTGAAAAAGTTCCATCTCTCTCCGTTCGTCTATCTCTCTCTCTGAAAATTCCGTTCGTTGATCGTCTCTCTCTCTGAAAATCGCTGGCCAACTCCGTGGGAAAATTCCATGGCGAGCTCGAAAAATCGTCCTCCTCGCCGTTCCACATCCTACAAACCGTCTTCCACAGTAAGCAAGGTAAGATTTTGGAGATTTTTTTCATCAATTTTGAATTTTGTCTTCAATTCGGAAATTGGGGAATTTTTTTAAAATTTTGATTTTTTTATTGAATTCGAGATTTTTCAAAATTTGGTATTTGGTTGATGCTAATGCACTTCGAATTTGAGTTTTATTTTACCAATTACGAATGTTATTGATAAATTAGGCTATTTGCATGTCTAGGGTTTTATTGTGATGTCTTGGATAAAAATTTGACCTTTACTGTGATGAAAGAGAAAAAAAAAANAAAAAAGTGGGGTTTTGCAAAATCCAGCAAGGAATATGTGCCGTTGAATTGTATTCCGCCGGCCAAAGACTCAGTTTGGCTGAGATCTCTGATTGCTGGTTCAGAGGAGGAGCATTTCATTATGTATATTATTGTTTGTTCCTAAGTAACTCCTTTATTAATCATAACCAAATAAACAAAGAAAATCATATTCGAGTAATAATTTGTGGAGTAAAAAAAATGCCACTTTAGTCCCTGTACTGGAAAAACAAAGAGAGGTTACAATGCAACGTGTGTTTGCTTTGCACAGGAGGATATTGATCTTATGGCGAAGATGAACTTCGATGCCTACCTATTTTCAATTTCATGGTCCAGAATATTCCCAAGTAAATATAATGTTATAGCATTAGTTTAATTATTACCAATTCCTTTTGTAAAATATTCACTAGTATCCTAACTAATATCATAAGTCATGTTCCTTACTATAAATTTGAAGATGGAATTGGAAAGGTCAATTGGAATATAGATTGATCAACTACATGCTCAAAAAAAAAAAAAAAAAAAAAAAAAAAAAAAAAACTCAAATCCTCTAATTCATCTAACAAACATTTTGCAGGAATCACACCATATCCAAATCTCAATCACTATGACCTTCCTCAAGCGCTTCAGGATAGATACAACGGGTGGCTTGGCCGTGGAGTAGTGTAAGTAGCACACTGCAAATTAAGTGAATCGCTATTTTCTTTTTATTTTTATTTTTTTTACTTTGAACCTGAGGAGTTTGTTTTTTGTGTTCTTTCTTGGTGTTTTGAATTTGGTGCAGAAAAGATTTTTCCGATTACGCCGAGTTCTGTTTCAAAACATTTGGGGACAGAGGCAGACGTTTAACGAGCCTAGAGTGGTGGCTGCCCTCGGATATGATAACGGGTTTTTCGCACTCGGAAGATGCTCTAAAGCCTTTGGAAACTCACTAAGGGAAATTCAGCCATTGAGCCTTATATCGTTGCCCATAATCTCATTTTATGTCATGCAGCCGCTGCTCAGAGATATCGTGACAAATATCAGGTTAAACAATGAAAACCAAATCATGATTTTCACATGATCAACCCATACTAGTTTAAAGAAAAAAAAAAGAAAAATTAATTATGAGATTTTTTTTAGGAAAATACTCCCATACTCACGGTGGGCACATGTTAATATGCCCACCGCTCAGACGTGGATTTTTCACAGACGGCCGAGAGAGAGTGGCGGCTATGAGAATTCACACTTTCAGAGGTTTTTTGGTAAGTAGTGTAGGATTTGAATATTTTTCTTCTTTGGCTTCATTTTATTTGTTTTTTTTCTTGTTTAATTGAATATATGCAGGTTTATATCTTCTTTGAGAATCCATTTTTACATTTCAGTTTAACTGAATCTTTGCTTTATCTCATTGTATGAATTATGTTCTTGAATTTAAAAGTTGAGATGCCATTTTTACTGTCTTAAGTTGCATAATGAACAAATTATAATAAGTAATAATGTCCATTCATTTTTTATTTTGAAATTTTCTTGTTTGATTTTAAAATTGGACAAAATATGATGGTGACAATGATTTGGACACCATTTTCTCTATGTTTTCTAGAAATTCAAGCAACACAAAAATCCAACAGTAATAATGACAGTACAAATCCAACATAGTGAATTAGTGTTGAGGTGTTGTTTGGACAAAATATGATGGTGACAATGATTTGGACACCATTTTCTCAATTTGAATATGAATTAGTGCTGAGGTGTTGTTTGGTGTTTTATATGAATTTGAATAGCAATTAGGGTTGTGGTTTTGTTTGGTGTTTTATATAATTTTGAATGAAGTGGTGTTATTAAAATGGGTTGAGGTGTTGTTATTGTTGAATTGTATCATTGTTTATATCTGTTTCTTATGTTTGAAAATTGTCTTTATTTTATTTGTTTTTGATAGGGCACCGAACTAAGATGTAGGTGTGCCCCCTCATACTTCAAATTCTTGGTTGACGAGCTAGTTCGCCATTCCCAATCGAGCGAAGATCATACTTCGATGGATGTGCTATTAATTTTATTGTTTGATGGATGATTGTAATTTTATGGATGATGGTTTGTGGACTAAGTAGTATGAATGGATGTTTTGGATTTTTTTGATTTGATTCCTAATGATACCTGTTTTCGTAATATTAATACCGCATTTTTGGTGTAAAAGTACTCATTTTCCAGTAGCTAGTACTCATTTAAGAATGTGTTTTTAAACTGTATACCAGTTTCTATTCATAGTAGTACCTATTTTCTTCACAATAGTATTCAGTTTTGTATTGTTATAGTACCGAATATTAGCTCATTAGTAGAACTTGTAACGAAACACATAAAACACCGACTTTCGGTCTCAAATGATGTTTACATTGTAAACTGATACCAGTTTTAGGTTGTTTAGTACCAACGTATGTGAAAGGATGTACCTGTTTCTGTGTTAAGTTGTACCAAGTTTTGTCAAAGAAAAATAACAATGGGAATAATATAAGAGTATTTTTTTTGTAAACTGATACCCGTTTTAGGTTGTTTAGTACCAACATATGTGAAACAACGCCTCGCCTCTCTCCCTCGATATCCTACAAGAGGCTGTCCCGAAAGGGATACAAATACCTCAGCTCGGCCTCTATGACGGGAGCTCGGATCCCGACTCGCACCTCGGCCTCTACACCTCGTGGATGGACCTGCACGGCGCCTCTGACGCCCTGCGCTGCCGCATGTTCTCCCTGACGTTGGGACCTAAGGCGCAGAGGTGGTACCACTCTTTATATCCCCGCTCCATATCGACCTGGGCGCAGCTCGGGTCGGCATTCCGGTCCCACTTCATTGGATCGCAAATCAATCTCGCCCCCAAGGAATCAATCTCCAACATCATACAGGGCGAGAATGAGAGCTTGAAGGACTACATCGCCCGGTTCAATGACCGGGTCCAGAATATGGAGCGGTGTCACCCCGACGCCCTACTCATCACGGCCCAGGGCGGACTCAGACCGAAGACGCTGTTCAGGTGGTCCCTGTGCCAGAACAAGCCAACCACCTACCAAGAGTTCCTCACCCGTGCCCAGGAATACATCATGGCGGAGGAGTCATCATCCATCCCGACCTTCGACGCCACGCCGGCACCTGCACCGGTAAAGACGAAAACAAAGGAGGAGAAGTCGGGAAAGCCAAGCAAGTCCTTTGCCGAAATCCGAGCTCAGCGTAGACAGAGGGCCGAAGAGCTGAAAGAAAGCTATCAGGGCGTCTTTTCGGTGGGTGCCGCGGCAATCTACGAGGAGATTAAGGCCAAGGGGTTGTTGCCGGACCCCAAGCCAATGTTCACTGACAAGGATAAAGTAGACAAGACCCGCTACTGCACTTACCACAAGGCGCATGGGCATAACACCGATCAATGCCGAAATCTGATCTCGGCACTTCTGAAGCTGATCGATGACCCCCAACTCCGGAAGTTCACTCACTCCGGGGATAAGAGAAAGAAAGGGGGGCGTTTCGAGGAAAGCCCCGACAGTGACGAAGATGCCGACGTGAATCCTCGGCGAAAGAAGCCGCAGCAGGGCGGCCCCCACGAGATCATGACCTTCTGCCCCACTCATCAAGATGAGGCCGGCACCTCTAGGGGCAGAAAAAGAGACCGGACCCCACACACCGGGTCCGACCCGACCGACGTACCGACCCGGCGTGTCAACACGAGCCGGAGTGAGTCCCTCCTCTCTCGAAGGCAAACCAAGGCCTACGCCCGACAGGCCTACCACGCCGGGGAAAGGGTGATGCATGCCCACAGCCGGCCGGCGCCGGAGCCGACCCCAAACACCATCACCTTCAACGACGAAGACGCCTTCCTGTTCGATCATCCCCACTCCGACGCCCTGGTGATCACGGCGCCGATCATGGCGATTAAGATCCATCGCATCATGGTCGACACCGGGGCCTACGCCAGTATCCTTTACTACGAGACCTTCAAGAAGATGGGTATCGATAGGAAGGAGGTACAACCCTGCCGGGAGCGGATCCAGGGCTTCAACGGTCAGACCGTCGCCCCGGTTGGACAGGTCACGCTCCCGGTCCGGTTCGGAGACAGGGGGCAGCCCGCGAAGACAATCTTGGAAACATTCAAAATCGTGGACTGCCCAAGTGAATACAACGCCATATTGGGCAGGACGGCGCTCTACAAATTGAAGGCCGCCGTCTCTATATTCCATTATTCTCTCAAATTCCCAACTCCCGACGGGGAAGGGACCCACCGAGGAGACCAAAGGGAAGCGCGGGAATGTATCCTAACCATCCCGCGCGCCGAGATAAATGTGATAAACCTACATGAGGACGCCGGGGTGGCAGACATCGAGCCGGCGCACGACGATCACGGGGGCAACCGCATGCTGGGAAACCAGACAGGTTCGCACCCCCCGACCTCGTCGAGCGCCGACCCCACTATCACGGAGCCCAGCGCCGGGGAAGACGACTTGGCCCCGGGCGCCGAGATGACGAACCCTGTCGAGGACGGAGTCGAAAGCAACCTCGGCGGGGATAGGGGGAGAAGGGCCGGCAAAAGGCCGATCATGGAGGAGGACGAGCTCGACCCTCGCACACAATACGAAGAAAAGCGGGGAACGAAGAGGGCCGAGCCGATGGACGAAGTTGAAATCATCTTCATCGACGAAGAGACCTGCCAGAAACAACTCCGGATCGGGAGCAAGCTGCCGGGGCCAATGAAGGCCGAACTGACCGAGTTCCTCCGGAAAAACGCCGACGTCTTTGCATGGACCCACGAGGACATGGTCGGCATCGACCCGCAGGTCGCCTGCCACCGATTGCAGGTCGATCCCACAATCAAGCCGGTCGTGCAAAAGCGGAGGAAGCTCGGCCCCGACCGACAGCAAGCCTTGGAAGAAGAAGTGACCAAGCTGAAAGATAACGAGTACATACGCGAGGTCCGATACCCGACCTGGGTGGCCAACCCGGTACTCGTAAAAAAGAGCAGCGGGGCATGGCGGCTGTGCATTGATTTCTCCGACTTGAACAAGGCATGCCCCAAAGACAGCTACCCCCTCCCTCACATCGACTACATGGTCGACGCCACGTCGGGTCACGAGCTGATGAGCTTCATGGACGCGTACTCCGGCTACAATCAAATTCCCATGCATCCGGACGACGAGGAGCATACCTCCTTCTACTCGGCACGTGGGCTTTACTGCTACACCATGATGCCGTTCGGATTGAAGAATGCCGGGGCCACCTATCAACGCCTAGTTAATAAGATGTTTGCTAGCTTGATAGGTGAATGTATGGAAGTGTATGTAGATGATATGTTAGTTAAGTCTGTGTACGCGTCCAATCATGTAAACGATCTTAATAAAATGTTTTCCATTTTGCGTGATTATTCCATGAAGTTAAACCCGAAAAAATGTACGTTTGGTGTGGGTTCGGGAAAATTCTTGGGGTATATAGTTAGTCAGCGCGGCATCGATGCAAACCCCGAGAAAATCAAGGCTGTGCAAGACCTCCGACCGCCAACATCAATTAAAGGAGTCCAGAGCCTGACTGGCAAGCTCGCCGCGCTGAGCCGATTCATCTCAAAGTCCACTGACCGCTGCAAACCGTTCTTTGACGCGATCAGGAAAAATCACAAGTTTGAGTGGACGCCGGCCTGCCAAAAGGCGCTGGAGGCAATCAAGGAGACCCTCAGCCAGGCTCCAACGATGCAGAAGCCCCGCCCAGGTGAGATGCTGTATCTATACCTGGGGATCTCCGAGGTGGCCGTAAGTGCCGCCCTGATTCGAGAAGACGACTCAGGCCAATTTCCGATCTACTACGTGAGCAAGGCCCTCCACGATGCCGAGCTGAGATATCCGCCAATGGAGAAGCTCGCCTTCGCCTTGGTGACCGCAGCCCGGAAACTCAGGCCGTATTTCCTGGAATACCCAATCACTGTCCTCACGGCCTATCCGCTAAGACAAATCCTACACCGACCTGACACCTCGGGTCGAATGGTAAAATGGGCAGTGGAGCTGGGACAATACGATATCCAGT